ATAAAAATGTTTACTAAAATTGAGAATTAATTAAAAAAACAGATTTTAAATATCTAGTTCTGATTTGAATAAAAATGAAGAGAGCAATTTCCGGATCAATGATAAAAAGAGAATCTTTCCATGCGATAAATTGATAAGACATACCAACCTAATCCGAAAAAAAGCTCGCCGGAAGAAAGATCATTTCGAATCCTATCGCGACACGCTACGATCGTGATCATTCTATACGTCGCGCTACTTAGAAAAAAGGCAAAAAGTGCGCTTCATGGTGCACGTTCGGTCTTCTCTACCACGAGATCGCTTAGCATAATCCGTTGGACGATTTCAAACAAATGCGGTGGTGAGGGTACACGTGGAGAACATGCGCACTAGAGAAGGAACACGCGATTGGATGTCGTCGTGCGTATGACGAGGACGTTACTATGCGAAATTCGCGCCATTTTTACTGCGCAACTGGCAGGGCGCGCCAATCAGATTTGAATTCAAACGTTCGGTGGAAGGGAACACCGGACCTCGTGGCTCGTTCAAACGGATACGAGGCTCCCACTGCTTGGAACGATTCTACATCCCACCAGAACTAGTCTGACCGTGGAGCAGTGAGGACTGAGGAACGATTGTTCTTGAACGTGGCGCAAGCCCGTGAAGAGCGACCGTTCAAGAAGAAAACTTCACAGAAAAGTCGAGTGGATCAGCAGAATTTATACAGCCAAGGATTCTCCTGTTCTTCCGGAATACGCCGAATCGGAAGAACTGGAAGACATTCGAGACGCTCTTGATATTATTTCGCTGAAAACGGAGAAGCGAGTGGGTACGTACTTTGAACTGGAAAACAAAAGTTCCCGGGGATCTGCTTGCTCGACTAACGTACGGTGGAAACACAACAAGTACCCGAAATGCTGGCAGCCTCGATTTGTCACGAAATCTACTACACGGTGTTGCCCAGTACGACGATGACCTCACGAGTACCACGCTGCCTCTTCGGCCGGCCAAATCCGCGAGAGACAATGGAGATGCTCCAGGAGGCACTAGACGCGGAGAGGAGCAAGTTCGCCAAGAGATGGGGAGTGGATCCTCGTTCCGAGGATAAGGAGAATAATTATCAGAGGCGGAACAACGAGAAGAGCGACCGGTCGCCCGGCAAAAAGCGAAGTAATCCGTATTCAAGGCAGACTAGCATTCACGGTAAGCAACATTTCTCTTCTCGCGAAATATCAACTTCGCGCGAACTTTATCGTCGAGCCTTGGCGGCAATTTAGGCGCGCGAACGCGTCGCGTGTGTATGCTCGCGGAATATGCATGAAGAAGCATGAGTCATACGTTCGACAAGATTCCCTGCCCGACGGGCAACAAGCGTGAATTTCGCGGGATGCATGTACGGCGCGCGAAAGTAGGTCGACCAATATCGTCTTCTTCGAGTTAATGTGCGTGAACATAAATCTAAAAATATCTCTTACATATAAGATTTCTTCTTTGCGGTTCAACGATTGTACTTATTGTACTTAAAACGAAATAGATATATTTTAAGTTTGACGAATGAGAGATAGAAAGTTTTAATGCAGCGACAAAGGATGCGTATCTATAATTCAATATGGCATACCGCTATAAGTTTATTGAGGTGGGAACAGAATTATGTAACGATTCTCACGCAGTATGGTCATGGATATTCGAATACTTGCGACATGTAACCAATTTGTCGTCGAAAACATTCAAATCGGTTTTCTTTAATCAATAGACTGCTATTTAGCCTGCTGGATGACATTGGAATGGGATTGCGAGTCTATTGCTGTGGCGTCGTAGAACGAAGCAGCGGCTTTTTGGCGGGAAAGCCGTGACGAAGAAAGGGAAGCCGGACGCGCAGACGCGACGTGGTCGCGTGGCTCCGACCTGTTTTCTTATTCTAAACCCGCCGCCTCTCTTCCGCCTTCTCTCCTCCTCTCTTCTCTGTAGCCGTCCCTCGCCAGAATACTCCTGGCTACCCGTCTTACGCTCTCCTTTGACCAATCTTCCACCCTGTCGTTTCTTACGCCAGAAGCACGCGTCGTAAACGGGTCGCAGACCCGTTGCAGATAATCCAAATGTAGTCTGAATCTCAGACTAAGATCAAGAATTCGTTCTCTTTTCTAAAAGGCGATTTACAAAATACACATACGTAAATAATTTCCGTCAATCATTTACATTTTATCTACCAGTTCTTCAACCGATTTAACATTTTTTTTTTTAATAAATTGAATCCAATTATATGAATGATTTTTAAATTTTTTTTTAAATTGTTTATAAAATGTAAATGAATAATTTCTACTTCTTCTTTCTTCTTTTTTAATTTTTTAATTTCAAGTTAAGTAATATATATTTTAAAAAGTATATATTTATTATAATTATA